TGGGTGAAGCGTAAGGATTTATGAGAAAAATTGAGAGAGAGAGAGAGAAAGAAAGAAAGAAAGAAAGAAAGAAAGAAAGAAAGAAAGAAAGAAAGAAAGAAGAGGAAGAGAGAGAGAAGCTCAGGAGAGTGCCCAGGTGTCCATGTCTCTAGAAGAGTCAATAATTGACGCTCCTAGAGAAATAGATGAGGTGGCAATTGATGGGAACTATCGTTTTATAGCATCTTGGAGATTTGCTACAAAAATAATTAGACTTGGGGGACAAGTAGCACAAAAGCAGGCTTTGTTTTTAGCAGGGTTCAAAGCCACAGGATGATGACCCTTCTGAAAATATCCCAGATTTTGTTTCCCCTCCCTCCTCCTGCCCCCTTCCTTCCTTTTTTCTTCCCACCCTCTAGATCAATTCCTCCCTCCCTCCCTCCCTCTAGCTGAATTCCTTCCTTCCTTCCTCCCTCTAGCTGAATTCCTTCCTTCCTTCCTCCAGCTGAATTCCTTCTTTCCTCCCTCCCTCTCTCCCTCTAGCTGAATTCCTTCCTTCCTTCCTCCAGCTGAATTCCTTTCCTCCCTTCCTCCCTCCCTCTAGCTGAATTCCTTCCTTCCTTCCTCCCTCTAGCTGAATTCCTTCCTTCCTTCCTCCAGCTGAATTCCTTCTTTCCTCCCTCCCTCCCTCTAGCTGAATTCCTTCCTTCCTCCCTCTCTCCCTCTAGCTGAATTCCTTCTTCCTCCCTCCCTCTAGCTGAATTCCTCCTCCCTCCAGCTGAATTCCTTCCTCCCTCCCTCCTCTCTCCCTCCCTTCCTCTAGCTGAATTCCTTCCTTTCCTTTCTTTTCCTTCCTTCCTTCCTTCCTTCCTTCCTTCCTTCCTTCCTTCCTTCCCTTCCCTTCCCTTCCCTTCCCTTTCCTTTCCTTTCCTTTCCTTTCCTTTCTTTTCTAGCTGAATTCCTTCCCCCCCTCCCTCCCTCCCTCCTCCTTTTGATTTCTAGACCTCATACATAAACTCATCATACCTAACTGGGTATCAGGCAGCAACAAAGCAACAAAGCACCTCTGCTATAAAATGTGGACGTTGGGAAAGAAATATTTTCTTTTCTTTTCTGAAATATTGATTCCTGAAGCCAGGTTTCTCTAGAGTTCACTCAGAGTTGCTGAAGGTTAGAAACAGCGTGGGGCCCGTTCCGACATAATTGATCCCTCAGTGTTGGGAGATAATAACGCGCCAAATATTAAATAATGGATGGCGTTTATTAACGCCGGAGAGAAAAAGGGAGAGAAAAGACTCACGAGAACTCTGCTCTCAGAACAAGCCTCGGGGGGGAAATGCACCAAAAAGAGTTCAAAATAAATAGGTCCAGAGAGTATTGCAGCTGAAAATATAACGAGCAGATGGAGATATCGGAGTTTTATTGGGTGGAAGGGGCAAAAAGGGTAGGTTAGTTTCATTGGAGAAAATTTTCACGATGGGATTGGCTTGCCCCACAGGCTGCCAAAAGGGGCATTTCCGGATTCTGTTGGACCAGGAATTTCAGCTGTCAAGGTCTGGGAGAAGAGCCTTTCTGAGGGGTCCTTGGTGCTCTCTGAGCTTGGTTGTTTTCTTGCAGACGTTCCATGACCCAACTAGGTGACATCATCAGTGCTTGAGGGAGTGGGGTTGTGGTGTGGTGGAGGAGGAGGAGGACTGTGGGATCCTTGGTGTTCTCTGAGCTTGGTTGTTTTCCTGCAGATGTTTCATGACCCAGCTAAGTAACATCATCACCTCTCTTAAGCAAACCCCACTCCCTCCTAGCACTGATGATGTTACCTAGTTGGGTCACAAAACGTCTGCAAGAAACAACCAAGCTCAGAGAGCACCAAGGACCTCCCGGTCCTCCTCCTCCTCTGAAAACCCCACCCCCTCCTAGCACTGATGATGTTATCTAGTTGGGTAATGAAACCTCTGTAGGAAAGCAACCGGGTTCAGAGACCACCGAGGACCCCCACAGTTCAACCCCGAACTACAAATATTCTCATCCATCACGAGGTTTTTTTCCTGACACAGTTCCTGCCCTCTGGAACACTGTGCCCCCTTTCCCACCCTGAGATCCACACCCACTCTTCTTGGCCTTCTGAAAGTTGAGGCCCAGAGCTTTAATCCTGGTTTACCAATGCCAGGGATGGCCTTTACACCAGAGGTGGTATTCAGCCGGTTCGGGCGAATCGGTAGCTCCGATGATCAGCTGGCCTCGCCCTATCCTGTCCTTTATTTCCTGCTTTTTAGCTCATCTTAATTGCGCGGCACAGCTGATTTCCCCCCCCCATTGTTCTATTTACCGTTGCTGACTTGGAAGATAAGCAGCTGAGCTTCTAAATGCTCCATTTTCAGCGCCGCGCACAAGCTCACCAAACCGGTGCTCACCAAACCGGTTGTTAAGACGGCAGCATCCCACCACTGCTTTACACATGCAGTAAGCCCAACGCTTAGCGCAGCCTATGAACCCCCATCGCCCACTTCCTTTCGAAACCAGGAACGTGGGCTGACGACACGTTCTTTCTTCCTTCTCATCCCGTCTGCTCCTCCTCGTAGGTGATGAGGAAGGAGCACACCATGAAGCGGATGCCCGAAGACGGCGCCTACGTCAAAGGCCTCTTTCTGGAAGGCGCCCGATGGGACAGGGAAACCATGCAGATCGGCGACTCCTTCCCCAAAATCCTTTACGACGCCCTGCCCATCATTTGGCTGAAACCCGGAGAGAGCGCCAAGTTTTTGCACGAGCGGATCTACCTGTGCCCCGTCTACAAAACCAGCGCCAGGAGAGGCACCTTGTCCACCACCGGCCACTCCACCAACTACGTCCTCTCCATCGAACTGCCTTCTGACCTTCCCCAGAAGCATTGGATCAACCGGGGCGTGGCAGCCCTCTGCCAGTTAGACGACTGAACTGTACGCGCAAAACGAATGCATGTATTCCCGCAGCTTCCCATTAAAATATGTAAGCTTTGACCTTGGCCCTCGTTGGAAATGAAAACCGGCTGTCTTAAAAGACCTCTTATCCTTCTGCGTTTGCTCTCTGGCTGGGTAATTACAGAGTTGGGGAACGGAGAAGTCAAGCTTTGCAATAACGTAGCTCTGGGTCGAGATCCGGATTTGAAAAGCGAAAGGTGCGTCAGATGCCTGCCAGGAAAACCCCTTGAAGGCAGCCACATCGTTTCCCAGGATTGAACAGTTGTTTCTCTGTTCATTCCAAGCAGGCTGGCGGGAGGGCATTGGTTTTTAAGATGTTCCCAATGGGAGCATCGGTGGGTGTGTTGAATCCAGTTGGCGAATCTGGAATATTGCCCTGTTTGTTTACCTTCTCTATACACAGCAGATAAGGACGCGGCGGCTCAGGGGCTAAGACGCTGAGCTTGTCGATCGAAAGGTCGGCAGTTCAGCGGTTCGAATCCCTAGCGCCGCGGAACGGGGTGAGCTCCCGTGACTTGTCCCAGCTTCTGCCAACCTAGCAGTTCGAAAGCAGGTAAAAAAGGCAAGTAGGAAAATAGGGACCACCTTTGGTGGGAAGGTAACAGCGATCGGTGCGCCTTTGGGGTTGAGTCATGCCGGCCACATGACCACGGAGACGTCTTCAGACAGCGCTGGCTCTTCGGCTTTGAAACGGAGATGAGCACCGCCCCTAGAGTCGGGAACGACTAGCACATATGTGCGAGGGGAATTTTTACCTTTACCTTTTATACACAGCAGGGGATTGGAACGTTTTGGTACCGTCAGGCAGAGAAGTCAAAGACGGGTCCAGCATCACTGAAGGATAATTGGTAACTTAAGCCAGGAATGTTAGATTCTTTCTTGGTTGATGGGGGCCCTTGCCATTTGGAAGAAATGCCCAGGGACACTCCCTACAGCTAACTAGTGTGGTTAAGGCCAAAACCAAACGTCGAGTTTGTTTACCACTGAATGTGTTTAGTGTTTACAATCGACTATACAGGTAGACCTCGACTTATGACCACTGTACTACCAAGAGCCTTGGTAGTACAGTGGTCTAAGGCACCCTGTTATTAAGACCAGCTGCCTGCAATTACTGCAGGGTTCGAATCTCGCCAAGGCTCAAGGTTGACTCAGCCTTCCATCCTTTCTAAGGTAGGTGAAATGAGGACCCAGTTTGTGGGGGCAATAAGCTGACTTTGTATAAAATATACAAAAGAATGAAGGCTATTGCTGAGCACATTGTAAGCCGCCCTGAGTCTCCGGAGAAGGGCATCATATAAATCAAAATTAAAACAAAAACAAAAACTGAAACCAAGATTTCTGTTGGTAAGGGAAACACTTAACAACCATGGCAAGAAAGGTCGTAGAATGGGGCAAACCTCACTTAACGAAGGTCTCACTTACCAACAGAAATCTTGGTGAAGCTGGTAACATGGTTGTTAAGTGAATCTGGTTTCCCCGCTAACTTTGCCCGTCGGAAGGTCACAAATGGGGAGAATCACATGACCCCGGGACACTGCAACCGTCGTAAATGTGAATCAGTTGTCAAGGATCTGAATGTAAATCAGGAGATCACGGGGATGCTGCAGTGTGAAAAATGGTCATAAGTAACTTTTTTCAGTGCCCCTTGTGATCGAAGTTTGGATACTTGGCAACTGGTTCCGTACTTATGACCATTGCAGCGTCCCAGGGTCACGTCATTTTTCCTTTTACAAGTTTCTGACAAGCAGAGTCCATGGGGAAGCCAGATTCACTTAACAACCACGTTACCAAGTTAACAACTGCAATGATTCACTTAACAACTGTGGGTAGAAAAGTCATCAAACGGGGCAAAACCGGTGTAACCAATGTCTCACTTAACAACATAAATTTTGAGCTCAGTTGTAAGTCAAGGACTACCTGTATCTTTTGGGGGTGAGATGTAACTTCGAATTTTAGTTAAGAATTCGGTCATTAAGTGAGGAGACTGTAGGCATATCAATAACCTGTGAGGATAGGTGCCCAAGTAGAACATAAGATTGATCAGACCTTTATTTTTTTTCTATCATCACGTTTTATTTTTAATTTTCCCACAATGCTTCTTTCTTTCTTTCACACAAGGCAGATTTAGCTCCTCCTTCTCATCTCTCCTTGGGACCAAGCGGATTCCCAACCTTGGGGAGGGAAAAATCACCTGGTGGTAACCGTACCAATTTCCTTTTCACCTGTAGCCATGCAAAATGCATCAGTCAGGTAGACTTGAGACGATATCGACCCCCAAGCTTGTTCAAGGGTTATGAAATTTCATCATGAGATTTCAAATAAACCGGTTTAGAGATTTTCCTTAGCTTCTCCTGGTATCGAAACGCCCGCGCTTGTGGCAGAGCGAGGCCCATGGGTGGCAAATGAATCTGTACGATAAGAAGAAAAGAAAACCGGCTTAAGTAAAGACTCTGAAAAACATCCAGGCCTTATTCAGATACCTGTTCTGCCCCAGTTACGGACCCCAAAGAAGGCAGCACACACCAAGTCTGTACAAACCTTAGTTTACTAAAATAAAATCAGTTTTTCAAACAAAGGCTGTTAATTAACTTTCTTAACAGCCTGCAAGAAACCAAAGAATAAATAATCTTAATCTTACTATGGTTGGCAGAAAGCCCAGAAGCAATTTGCAGAGAACTAAGATCAAGGCACGAAGGAGAGTGAACGAAGTTGTTCCCTGCAAATTGCTTCAGTCGGCGTTCCTCCTTAAATAGGTTAAGGGAGTGGCCAATTCGCCCCAAGCCTTACTCTCGTGGAGACCTCCTCCTGAGGAGCCACTCCTGCCTTTTGGCAGCTCTGCGCGCCCGTGAATCGAGAAGAGGCTCTTCCTCTTGTCCTCTTCACTCATGGAAGCTTCTGGAACTGGCACATCATCTTCTCCAGCCTCCTCATTGTCCGACTCGAGTGCCAGCTGCACAGGCTGCTGGCGCAGCACCACACCAGCCTCCTCGTTGTCCGAATCAGCCCTCAGGCCGTGTACGGGCAACAACAATACCATGCTTAATCATGCGTCTCTCTCTCCTTTTTTTCCCCAATGAAACTTTCATTTTAAACAAGAAGGTAAAAGCTAAACCAAAGTAACAGGACAGTAAGAAAGGAAAAAGAAAATAGAAAAAGCAAGGTAGCAATAGCAATAGCATTTAGGCCCATGATGGTGAACCTATGGCACGTATGCCCGAAGTGGCACGCGAAGCCATGTTGCCTGGCACGCGTGGCATCGCCAGTTCCTCTTCCGGGTTTCTGGCGCGCATGTGCACACGATGATCAGCTGGCTTTTGTGCGTGCGGCAGTGCCGGAAACTGGAAGAGCTCGTCTTCCATTTTCCGGCGTGAGCATGTGCGCCGGCCAGCTGATTGGTGCGTGCACATGCGCGGGCAGTAACCGGAAGCACTGAGTGCTGAAAAGGTTTGCCATCACTGACTTAGATTTACCATATTTTTCGGAGTATAAGACGCACCTTTTTCCCCCCTAAAAGGGGGTGAAAATTTAGGTGCGTCTTATACACCGAATGTAGCACCGCCCACCCACTGGCCCCACCCTTTGGCCTCTGCCTCGCAGCAATTTACCTCCTTGCAAGCAAACAGCAAGAAAAAACAGCTCCTTTCAGCTTCAGCACAGCCTAATTAGCACAAGTTGATTGGCTCGGCCCCCCGACTCTCAGCTGATTTGCTCTCAGCTGTTTTGCACAGGGCTCTGCTGCTTGCTGCAAGGAGGTAAATTGCTGGGAGCAGATTTTTTTTTCCCCTTGTGCTAATCCAGCTATGCTGAAAACGAAAATGGAAGTAAAGCAGGCTGTTTGCTGCAACGAGGCAAAATTGCTGGGAGGCAGAGGCAGATTTCTTTTTCTTCTTTTCCTCACCAAAAAAGGTAGGTGCGTCTTAAACTCCGAAAAATACGGTATATACCGCTTCATAGTGCTTTTACAGCCCTCTCTAAGTGGTTTACAGAGTCAGCCTCTTGCCTCCAACAATCTGGGCCCTCATTTTACCGATTTCAGAAGCACGGAAGACTGAGTCAACCTTGAGCCGGTCAGGATCGAACTACCGAACTGCTGACAATTGGTAGTCAGTAGAATTAGATGCAGTACTGCATTCTACCCACCGTGCCATTCTTAAGCAAGTTGCACCCATTTCAATGACCTGTGTGCTGCCCTTTTGTTTTGGGCCACAGTTCAGTGAATCGCTTCCATTAAATGAATCGTGCCGTCGTTAAGGGAGTGACCTTCCTTGTCAAAAGCCAGGTGGGAAAGCAACAAACGGCGATCACCTGATCCCAGGGCACTGCAACCAACTGCATACATGCTGGTTGCCACATGCCTGATTTTTTATTTTTTTTTATCACGGGACTGTGGGGATGCTGCAACGGTCATAAATGCGAGGACCGATCACTTTTCTAAGTTACCATGGTAACTTCGAACAGTTACTAAAGGAAGGGTTTGTAAAAAACGAGGACTGCCAGCATCTCTGCAAACTATTGTCAAGAAAAGAATCCTCCGGAGCGAGAATTAACAGATTCCTATCGAGCAGCTGGTTCCTACTTACAGGCCTTGGATACGGGTTGTGATAATGGAGTCCGAGATCTATTCTCGCCTTGCACTCTTCTACGCACTGTTTAATCAGCTCGGGATCTGTTAGCTGGTCTTGCAAACAATACAGAAAAAAGAAAAAGGAAGTTAGAACAGAAAGCGCAAAGGTTGTAAAGAACAGACAGGTAAGTTAAAACTTTTTTTTTTTTCCGAATTATCTTGTGAATTTTACCCCTCTCCCCAAAAGACTTCAAAGGAAAGACCTTGATCTTCCTGGAAGGATGGATGGATGGAAGGGAGAGGGAGGAAGGATATTGATAGTGAATGAGAGAGGAAGGAAGGAAGGATAATGAGAGTGAATGAGAGGAAAGGGAGGGAGGAAGAATATTGATAGTGAAAGAGAGGAAGGAAGGTAGAGAGGGAGGGAGGGAGGAAGGAGAGGGAGAAGAATATTGATAGTGAATGAGAAAGCAAGAAGAAGGAAGGGAAGAAGAAAGAAGGAGAAAGAATAATGAGTGAATGAGAGGAAAGGAAGGAAGGAAGGAGAGGAAGAAAGGATAATGAGAGGAAGAGGAAAGGAAGGGAGGGAGGGAGGAAGAATATTGATAGTGAATGAGAGAGCAAGAGGAAGGAAGGAAAGAAGGAAGGAAGGAGAAGAAAGAATAATGAGTGAATGAGAGGAAAGGAAGGAAGGAAGGAGAGGGAGGAAGAATAATGAGAGCGAAAGAAAGGGAGGGAGGGAGAGAGAGAGGGAAGGAGGGAGGAAGGAGAAAGAATAATGAGTGAGAGAAAAGGAAGGAAGGAGAGGAAGGAAGGATAATGAGAGGAAGAGGAAAGGAAAGGAGGGAGGGAGGAAGAATATTGATAGTGAAAGAGAGGAAGGGAGAGGGAGAGGAAGGGAGAGAGGGAGGAAGGAGATGGAGAAAAATATTGATAGTGAATGAGAGAGCAAGAGGAAGGAAGGAGAAGAAGAAAGAATAATGAGTGAATGAGAGGGAAGGAAGGAAGGAGAGAGAGGAAGAATAATGAGAGTGAAAGAGGAAGGAAGGGAGGGAGAGAGAGAGAGGGAAGGAGGGAGGAAGGAAGGAAGGAGAAAGAATAATGAGTGAGAGGAAAGGAAGGAAGGAACAGGGAGGGAGAATATTAAGAGAATATAAGAGCCTTGGCAGTACAGTGGTCTAAGGCACCCTGTTATTAAGACCAGCTGCCTGCAATTACTGCAGGTTCGAATCTCGCCAAGGCTCAAGGTTGACTCAGCCTTCCATCCTTTCTAAGGTAGGTAAATTGAGGACCCAGATTGTGGGGGCAATAAGCTGACTTTGTATAAATATACAAAAGGTATGAAGGCTATTGCTTAGCGCATTGTAAGCCGCCCTGAGTCTCCGGAGAAGGGCGGCATATAAATCAAATTAAAAAAAAAAAAAATGATCGTGAAAGAGAGGGAGGGAGGGAAGGAAGGAGAAAGAATAATGAGTGAGAGGAAAGGAAGGAAGGAAAGAGGGAGGGAGAATATTGATCGTGAAAGAAAGGAAGGGAGGGAGGGAGGAAGGAAGGAAGGAGGAAAGAAGGAGAAAAAATAATGAGAGAAAAGGAAGGAAGGAAGGAGAGGGAGGAAGAATATTGATAGCGAATGAAAGAGCAAGAGGAAGGAAGGAGGAAGAGAAAGAAAGCTAGCTAGCTAGCCACAAATAACTTCTACCTGAATCGGACATAACCCTTTTCTCCAATTGTGATCGTCACTGTCTCTTTGGCTAACTTTATTGAGAAGAAGACAATGGGGGGGGGGGGGGGCTTTAAAGAATTCCAGCCACGGAACTGTTTCCTGTCTGCAACCGATCAACCTCCAATTGCATAAAGATGGAACCTTCCCTCATTTCTTTCTTGCTGTCTTTTTTTTTTTGGACCCTGCAAAAATTGGGAGGTCTTTTCAGTGATAACGCAGGAGCTGATGGCTGATAGTTTATCGCCCTGTTTCTTTGAATCTTGATGGGTCTGAGATGATGGCCTTCAGTGCGCCAGATATAAGCTTACCGTGGCTTAGTGGAATGTTTGAGCCCCACAAGTAGGCAGGGCTGTGGATATTTAGGGTTTTAAAGGTTAAAACCACCCTTTTACATTGTGCTAGGATTAGTCACCAATGCAGCCCCAAGAATCTGACGTGACCTGATCCTTCAAATATGTGGCAATTGATGTATTCTCACTGCCACTGTTTGCACCAACTGAAGCTTCTTAGATACCCTTTCTGGAGCCACCTCTTCTTCTCCGGTGAACAGAAAGCTGGATCTGTGGGGCCTTTGGCACTTTCAGCCCTGCTGAAAAGCGAAAAAGTCGACGTGTCCCCACAAAGCAACATTTTGGCACTCAGGAAACAGAACCAAATGAGAGAGGTGTTGTCTCACCTCCCTGGAATGTCATCATCTTCGTTTAACGACTCCATAATCCTTTACGGGGTGGAGCCCGGGCAACTGAATGGAGCTAGCAGAGTGTTTACTGGCCGGATGCCTTTCCTGACGCCAATGCGGAGTTTTGTTCAGCAGATATATTCTCAATTGTGCCCAGAGAGAGAAATACCCGCCTCTAGCAATAGCACTTAGACTTATATACCGCTTTACAGCCCTCTCTAAGCGGTTTACAGAGCTAGCCTTTTGCCCCCAAACAATTTGAGTCCTCATTTTACCCACCTCAGAAGGACGGAAGGCCGAGTCAACCTTGACAGTGGTGGGTTCCTCCCGGTTCGGTCCGGTTCGGCTGAGCCGGTAGCAGTGACGATATGACATCACCGAACCGGTTCTCCACCACCACCCTCCCACACCCCCCACGTTATTCTTACCTTTTATTTGGTCCCACCCCCAATCTATTGCTGCCTCCTGAGTCCCAGCTGATGACTAGAGGGAAAAAAAACTGTTTAAACTCTTGCCGCGGGGCTTCAAAGGGCCGCCCTACAGCTGATCAGTGTTAAAAGCAAACAAATGAGTCGGGTCGTAAGTGCGAGGACCTTCCAGAAATGACTCTGACCAGCTAGCCACGCCCACCTAGTCACATGACCTCCAAGCCACACCCACAAAATAAGCCATGCCCACAGAACCGGTAGTAAAAAAATTTAGAACCCATCCCTGAACCTTGAGCCTGGTGAGATTCAAACTGCCAAATTGCAGGCAGCCGGCAGTCGGCAGAAGTAGCCTGCAGTACTGCACTCTAACCACTGCGCCACCACGGCTCTACCTAGGATCGAACTTACAGCCTCCTGATTGTGAGGCGAAAGCTCCACCTCTAAGCCATCGCACCACTCCTTCTCATTTCCCTGGATGCCCACCCCAAATCTCATTGATTTAAAACAACAACAACAACAACGACGACACCCCTCCAGACCAAATGCTAACTCACAGTTTGATTCTTTCGGAACAATGTTTTGGCTTCGCTGATAATATACTGTTTTTCTTTCTCTGTCTCTTTCATCTGTCCCGTTGCCGACTGCCATGTTTTGGCTATTCGGAATATTTTGCGGTAAAGGCCAAGGACTTCTTGACGAGTGACTGGTGTCATCTGGAGAAAAAGAGAGAAGATTCCTGGGTGAACATTTGGAAAACAATCAAAGGGCTGTGAAAAAACAAAGGGCTTTCAAACAGATGGATATATTCACATTTTGTTCCATCAGTTTTCAAATATTTTTCTTGGCTCCATCCGCGAACATGGAAAGATCCGGCAGAAATGGAGGGGAGACCCCCCCCCCAAAAAAACTATAATTATCTCTCAAATGTGGATAGTAGCTACTTTTCCATGGGCTAAATTTAAGGCAAGAAAATACCCGGCTGATATCAGCATTTGTGAAAATATGCCCAGTCCTTCCTTAAAGATAAATAAACCACAAGAATCAAAAGCAGGATGTTGAGAAGGGGAACGACGAAAAAGGAGGAAAAAAAAATCCCAATTATAATAACCACAGAGTTGAAAGAGAATTAAGCGCAGAATTAAGATATGGTTCATCTATGTATCAATGCCAACTTCAAAAGAGGTAGTCCTCGGCTTAACGACCACAACTGAGCCCAACATTTCTACTGCTAAGCAAGACGGTTGTTAAGTGAGCTTTGCCCCATTTCTTGCCATCGTTGTTAAGTGAATCACTGCAGTGGTGAAGCTAGTAACACGGTTGTTAAGTGAATTTGGCTTCCCCATGGACTTGGAAGGTCGCAAAACGGGATCGCATGACCCCGGGATACCGCAACTGTCATAAATATGAGTCAGTTGGCAAGCGCCCGAATGACCACGGAGATGCTGCAAAATTCACTTAACGACTGTCTCGCTTAGCAATGGAAATTTTGGGCTCAATTGTGGTCGTAAGTTGAGGACTACCCGTTATCAGCTTCCGTCTTCCCTCAGAGTGATAGTGATGGTGGAAACTATGGAGGACACCATCTTCTTAGATGCCAATGATTAAAACATGCTTTCCATTTGCACCCAAGGCACGGCGAGTCCAAGCTAGCATAGACACATGCAGAAAGCAAGCCTCACTCAAAAATGCTGGACAAATCCATCTTTTTTTTTTTTTGTCCCGGTGAACAAAAGCAACGTCTGTTGTCCAGGACTGCTGAGCTTGCCACGGCAAATCATCCTTGTAAACGAAATATTGTGGTCGCGTTGTTCACGATTTCAGTTCTGCCCCCCGATGAGCACAATGCTCTCTTTTCTTAAGTGTTCTCAAGGAAAATTATTGAGGGGCTGTTAGGGAAGGGTTGGCAAAGCTTTCACTGGGTCATATGCTAAATCATGTTTTAACACTGGTTTACTAAATAAATTGCAATTTGGCTCGGGACACAGAAGATGGATTCGATCTGTCTGTACTTCTCTATCATCTACCCCCTCCTCTCTCTCTCTCTCTTTTTTTTTTTAATTTGATTTATATGCCGCCCTTCTCCGGAGACTCAGGGCGGCTTACAGTGCGTTAAGCAATAGCCTTCATCCTTTTGTATATTTATACAAAGTCAGCTTATTGCCCCCACAAACTGGGTCCTCAATTTACCTACCTTAGAAAGGATGGAAGGCTGACTCAACCTTGAGCCTGGTGAGATTCGAACTTACAGTAATTGTAAACAGCTGGTGTTAATCACAATGCTATCAGTCTGCTGAGCCACCAGGCTTCTCTCTCTCTCTCATTCGGCTTTCTTTCTATATCTCTGTATCAGGTCAGTCTGCCTGTCTATCTGTTTTTGTATCATATTTATCATCATATTTATATGTGTAATAAGTTATTAAGCTAAAGCCAATAAAGCACATTCTCATTCTTTCTCTCTCTCTTTCTTCTCTCTGGAAAATTTTAAGATGTTGGATAACCATTTGTCTGAAGTGGTGTAGGGTTTCCTGCCTGAGCAGAGGGTTAGACTAGAAGACCTCCAAGGTCCCTTCCAACTCTGTTATTCTATTCTATTCTATTCTATTCTATTCTATTCTATTCTATTCTATTCTATTCTATTCTATATCTATATCTATATCTATATCTATATCTATATCTATATCTATATCTATATCTATATCTATGTATCAGGTCAGTCTGCCTGTCTATCTGTCTTTCTATCATATTTATCATCATATTTATATGTGTAATAAATTATTAAAGTAAGGCCAATAAAGCACATTATCATTCTCTCTTTCTATGTATCAGATCGGTCTGTCTGTTTATCTGTCTTTCTATCATATTTATCATCATATTTATATGTGTAATAAGTTATTAAGCTAAAGTCAGTAAAGCACATTCTCATTCTTTCTCTCTTCTCTCTTCCTATATCTGTGTATCAGACATACACATAAAGCACATCATAGTTTATTGTAAAAAACCAACCAGCATTGGAGCTTTGTTCTTTTTAACAATTGGTGAATTGCGAATTCAGTTCTCCCAGCAATCCTAATAAGGAAAAATAACATTTATCGTACCTTCTCCTGCAAAAAAAAAAAAGCATCTTAAAAGTCACAGGAGACATCTAAGCTGGGTTTAACAAAGAGAGCAAGCTCGTTTTAGGAAGCATTCCTTACCACCAAGGATATCTTGATAGCTGCCTCTTTATCCCTCCCAAATCCCGCACAGAAGAATTATATTGTCAGGGTAGGCAGGCAAAGGAATAAACCAGGTGCCCAATCTTCACGTCTGCTTAACTGACTCCGTTTGAAAAGGCACCCCATTTTGTTGTCTTCGGAACTAAATTATAACATTTAGCTGAAGTAATGACCCTCAATTGTTGTGCAGCTGGGAAAGGTGACAGATGGGTGTATATGTGTTTTTAATGGGATGGTGCATTTAGCCGCAGAAAAGAAATCTCATTTGGTCAGATTCATCCCTCAAAAGTGATTTGAGAGCCACTTCCTAACTAACTAAGCTAAACCAGCTAGCGGTACTCGAACACGCTTGCAAATGGATCATAAGCTTCCTAACAGACAGGAAGCAGCAGGTGAAGCTAAGCAGAATCACATCAGATACCTGCACAATTAGCACAGGGATCCCCCAAGGCTGTGTGCTCTCCCCACTTCTCTCTCGATACCAATGACTGCATCTCAAACGATCCATCTGTTAAACTACTGAAGTTCGCAGATGACCCAACAGTGATGGGTCTCATTCGAGACAACGATGAATCCGCATACAGACGGGAGGTTGAACAACTAGCCTTGTGGTGCGACTGGAACAATCTGGAACTGAACACATTCAAAACCGTAGAAATGATGGTGGACTTTAGGAGAAACCCTCCCATACTACCACCTCTCACAATGCTAGACAACACAGTATCAACAGTAGAGACATTCAAATTTCTAGGTTCTACCATCTCATGACCTAAAATGGACACCCAATATCAAAAACGTCATCAAAAAAGCACAACAAAGAATGTTCTTTCTGCACCAACTCAGGAAGCTCAAACTGCCCAAGGAGCTTTCTGATCCAGTTCTACAGAGGAACTATTGAGTCTGTCATCTGCACTTCTATAACTGTCTGGTTTGGTTCTGCAACCCAACAAGACAGACACAGACTTCAGAGGATCATTAGAACTGCAGAAAAAACAATGGCTACCAACCTGCCTTCCATGGAGGACCTGCATACTGCACGAGTCAAAAAGAGGGCTGAGAAAATATCTACAGACCCCTCGCATCCTGGACATCAACTGTTTCAACTCCTACCCTCAAAACGACACTATAGAGCACTGCACACCAGAACAACTAGACACAAGGACAGTTTTCCCCCGAACGCCATCACTCTGCTAAACACATAATTCCCTCAACACTGTCAAACTAGTTACTAAGTCTGCATTACTATTAACCTTCTTATCATTCCTATCACCCATCTCCTCCCTCTTATGACTGCATGACTATAATCTTGTTACTGGTATCCTTAAAATTTATATTGACTGTTTCCCTATGATTATCATTAAGTTTTGTACCTTATGATTCTTGACGAATGTATCTTGTCTTTTTATGTACACCGAGAGCATATGCACCAAGACAAATTCCTTGTGTGTCCATTCACACTTGGCCAATAAAGAATTCTGTTCTGTTCTGTTCTATGACATTGATATGGGTATGGATATGGGAACTGGGTATGTCTAGTTTAATGCAAAGAAGGACTAGGAGGGACATGACAGCAGTCTTCCAATATCTCAGGGGCTGCCACAAAGAAGAGAGAGTCAAGCTATTCTCCAAAGCACCTGAAGGCAGGACAAGAAAAAAATGGGTGGAAACTCATCAAGGAGAGAAGCAACTTAGAAGTAAGGAGAAATTTCCTGAAAGTGAGAACAATTCATCAGTAGAACAACTTGTCTCCAGAAGTTGTGGATGTTCCAACACTGGAAGTTTTTTAAGAAGATGTTGGATAACCATTTGTCTGAAGTGGTGTAGGGTTTCCTGCCTGGGCAGGGGGTTGGACTAGAAGACCTCCAAGGTCCCTTCCAACTCTGTTATTCTAAATTTGATGGGAAGGTGAGTGGGAAGACTTGAAAAGATTACTTCACTCTCGGACAGCTCACTTGGCCCAGGGAAAATTTTGACATTTTTTCTTTGGAGAATGGGTAAGTTGGTATATTAGCACAGGGAGCAGAAGGACATGTAGTCCTTGACTTACAATGCTACTATAGTCCAGGGGTCCCCAACTCCCGGTCTGTAGACCAGCATCTGCGGCATGCCAGCAACCGGGCCACACAAGCAAGTGAAGCCCCATCCGCGGGATGCAGGCAGCATGCAAAACCACACCCCCTTCGGTCCACGGAAAAACCTTTCTCCATGGAACGGGTCCCTGGGGCCCAAAAGGTTGGGGGCCGCTATGCTTGTCCATCAGCTAAATTGATTTCCCCAGTTTCAGGACTGTAACATCTTCTCTTGAAACTTCTTAGTTTCCTCTTTTAAGCCCATTGCCCTCGTCTGTCGAGGCAAAGACATGCCCAAAAATACATCACTCAACATAAAAAAAAAACCCCATTTCTTATTCATCTTTCGGCTTACAAGCCAGTTTTAGAGGAAATCTCTAGGTTTTCACTTCCTTCTTTCTTTACAAATAATGGGGGGGGGGAAATCCCCAGGGCAATTCCATTTGGACTGGGTTTCTCTTAAAGAAACAAAACAGTTTATATCCAATATCCCATAAAAGGTAAAGGCAAAGGTTCCCTTCACACATATGTGCTAGTCGTTCCTGACTCTAGGGGGCGGTGCTCATCTCCGTTTCAAAGCCGAAGAGCCAGTGCTGTCCGAAGACGTCTCCGTGGTCATGTGGCCGCCATGACTCAATGCCAAAGGTGCACGGAACGCTGTTACCTTCCCACCGAAGATGGTCCCTATTTTTCTACATGCATTTTTTACCTGCTTTCGAACTGCTAGGTTGGCAGAAGCTGGGACAAGTCACGGGAGCTCACTCCGTTACGTGGCACTAGGGATTCGAACCGCTGAACTGCTGACCTTTTGACTGACAAACTCAGCATCTTAGCCACTGAGCCACCGTGTCCCTTCGTTGATTGACTACATTGATTGACTACATGCCATCAATTCATTGTTGACTTTTAGCACCTATAGAGATAAATTTTTCTCCAGGATGGTTTGTCCTTCACCTGTTCCTTCGCTTCTTTCAATGGTGCCCATATCATCACCATAATTGAGTCTTTCTACCTTGGTGGTTGTCCCAGTGGTGGGATTGAACCGGTGTAAAAACTGGTTCGTTTCACGAGCGCAGTACATTTCAAAATAGCTCTAAACCTTACCTTCTACTGCAGCCCCAGTCCCTATTTTTCTACTTGCATTTTTTACCTGCTTTCGAACTGCTAGGTTGGCAGAAGCCGGGACAAGTCACGGGAGCTCACTCCGTTACGTGGCACTAGAGATTCGAAACCGCTGAACTGCCGACCTTTCAATCAACAAGCTCAGCGTCTTAGCCACTGAGCCACCATGTCCCTTTACAATGCCCCATATGGGATACTAAAAAAAAAACAAAAACCCATTGGATTTGCAACCGCCTCCAGCAATAAAATTCACGATGCGCTGATGGATTTATACTGTAGCCAAATAAAAAAACGATGAGTAAAACTGAGCAATTTGTCTCCAGGGTTTTTTTTTTTCTTTTTCTTCATGGAGTTCATGTTTTGTGCTTTCCTGCTACCTATGGCTTTGATTGAAGGCAACTGAGCCCATTGAAGAATTATATGGTGGTTTGTGGGCTGCAGCCAGAAAACCACAGCAAGCAATACAGTTCTTTGAACGTGGGTTGTTTCTTCAAAGTCTAGACTATCTTTTGAGGCAAACACGTGGGTGGGCTCTTGAATGCAATGCCTTTCAAACTCCTGTCTCTAAATTGCTGCTTCTGTATAATTTCATTACGGCATTGATTAACACGGTGTCTGTCTATGAATGACTGGCTCCTGCCAATCAGCATCTGGTACCAGCTTCAAAGATTAATAAACTTTATTATATGCTTATGGAACCTCAAACTCTGCAGTTTTGGTTCCTCTAGATACAATGGCCATATTTTCCTGGAAAAAAATAAAAGAACTTGAAAAAGGGGCAAATCTGAAGGAGATTTGTAAGGATTTAAAAAAAAAAAGTTTATTTATAATTTTCTTTTGCAAAGAAAAATTGAAGAGCTGAGCCGAGAAAAACAAAAATGGATATTTGAATAAAGTGATATACTTATTTTAAAAAGGCAACTCAATGTCTGTGTTTTTCCTACGAGTGCGAAAAGACTGTGCATTAAACGGTACCAACGGGAGAAACTAAATGTCCCAAATAAAGGACAACAGTGAGTTTTTGAAAAAAATACTATCTAAAGGGCAGGGTTCCCCCCCACCCCCGAAAGAAAGAACTAGCTTTTATAATAAAGGAATTATCGTCACTGTACCATACATGATGAATTTGGGTCTCTTCTCTTCCTACAATGACTGTTGTCATTATTTGGGTGGGTCGTAGGGCGGAGAATATACAAATATTCTTTTACATATAACCTGTATCTTTCTTATTTTATGACAAAATAAAACCTGTTTAAAGGCTTTTTACCGGGGATTTAGATTCGACCTTCAGCAGTCTGAAGCCCCGCCCCTTAGTCTTCAGGCCCCACCCCTGCAATGAGGCCCCACCCCCAGCTCTAAAGCTCCTCCTCCAGGATGAGAAGCATATCCATCCATCCATCCATCCATCCCTACCTACCTAACCAAATAAAATAAAATAAAATAAAATAAAATAAAATAAAATAAAATATAAATATAAAAAATAAATCTTATTGCTAAGGAAACTCATGAATGCTTCCAGCAGGGATACACTAATATAATAAATATAATATAATATAATATAATATAATATAATATAATATAATATAATATAATATAATAATATAATATAATATAATATAATATAATATAATATAATATAATATAATATAATACAATACAATATAATACAATACAATACAATACAATATAATAATAAATAAATAAATGAGTCCTAGACTAATTTAGTTCAGGTCTCATTGACAGCACTGACGTCATCTTGCCACCCTGTAGCGCCCCCTATCGGAGAGGGCAAAAAAAAATTCAACGCATGCGCTGCTGCTCTCTGACGGTCCCGCTTAGAGCCGTGTGGGCGATACCAATATAGATGCAGACGGGGGGGGTGTCACCTCTGCCGTGCCTCCTCTTTTCGGGATGTCTTTGGGACCGACAGACGCTCCTCTCTCCTCCCCTCTCACCTTTTCGGATTCACCTGCAGAGCTAGACACTTTTGATCCCAACACACAACACACACACACATACGGACCCGGAGGATACAGTTCCCCCCCTCAACATAAATATTCGCCCTCACTCACCTCCGCAAGACGACGAAAACGAGGGGGAGGGGGGAAAAAAAAAGAGAGCTCCCCAAAAGCCAGCCCTCAAAGTGCCCTTACGCTGCGCGCGGCGTCAAAGCGCGCGTGCGGGAGCGCGTCCTACGTCATCGCGCCGCCAGCTGACTCCCTCTCCCTCCCTCCCTCCCTCTTTGCGCGAAGTAGGCCCCACCCCCCGGAAGTGATGCAGGAGGCTGAGCCCGAGTGGGCGCTCTGGTCGCTTTGGAGGAGAGCTGGTGGCGGAGAGGAGGGTAAGCGAAAATTGGACCCTCTCTCTTCCCGTCCGAATCGGGGTTGGTTGGTTGTGTGGAGGGGGGGGCAGCAACCGAATGCCCCGTTCGCCACCATTCCCCTCCCCCCACACACCGACCCCTCCCTCATTCCCCTCAGCAACGGCCACCCTACCTTTCTGGGAGGAGTGAGGGGGGGGTCCTTTGGGGAAGGAGGGGGGGGGGGAGGGGAGGGGGGGCTTATTTGGGGAAGGGGTGGGGGGGGGGGAAGGTTCCTTCTGAGGGGAGACCTTGGGGACCCCCCCCTCTCCCTCAAGGACGACTACATGGAGGGGACCCTCACCCAACGGTGAGGCATGTGAGTATCCTCCCCCCCTCCCCTCACGCGACCCAGGAATGGGGAGGAGGGGGGGGGTCTCCTCCCCTGCCTTACAATGGCCTCTCTCTTTTTTTTTGCAGACCATCCTGATCCTCCTCGTGCCTTGTGATGGCTTCGTCGTTGCCTGGAAAGGATCGCTGAGGTGAGTTCGGTTGGCGGGGAGAGGCTGGGGGGGAGGGGAAGGGAGAGACCCTCTTGAGGACATGTTGCCTTTGCTCTGGGGGTTGTTTTCCTGGGAGAGGTAAAGTGTCCAGGCCGAGGCCTTTGGTTGGCTTTTGGCCAGCGCTGGACTTTTTCTATCTAGGGCCATCCTGGGAGCGGTTCCAGCCCATAATAATACCGAGCAGAGCCGACGTTCGTTCGTTCAGGGTGCTTTAAAATCCTGGTTATGGGATTCTGCCTTTTTCTGCATTAATCCATCGAGTGTCCAGATGGCTCTAATTCACACTGGGTGTTAAAATGTGTCAGTCTATCTTATATCTATATCAAATTATCTATCTATCTATCTATCTATCTATCTATCTATCTATCTATCTATCTATCTATCTTCTATCTATCTATCTATCTATCTATCTATCTATCTTCTATCTTCTATCTATGTGTCAGTCTGTTTTATACCTATATCAAGTATCTATCTATCTATCTATCTTCTATCTATCTATCTATCTATCTATCTATCTATCTATCTATCTATCTTCTATCTATGTGTCAGTCTGTCTTATACCTATATCAAGTATCTATCTATCTATCTATCTATCTTCTATCTATCTATGTGTCAGTCTATTTTATATCTATATCAAGTATCTATCTATCTATATCTATCTATCTTCTATCTATCTATGTGTCAGTCTATCTTATATCTATATCAAGTATCTATATATCTCTGTCTCTTGTCTGTCTGTCTCTCTTTATCATCTGCCTATATCTGTATTTCTATCATCTATTTCTTTCTCCTTGCTATCTCTCTCTATATCATCTACATCTAATCTATCATCTATCTACCATCTGCTATCTATCATCTCTCTTTCTCTCCTATTTTATCTCTGCCTCTCTCTCTCTCTCCTCTGTACATATCTATCTCAATTCTCTGTCTGTCTGTCTATCTATCTATCTATCTATCTATCTATCTATCTATCTATCTATCTATCTATCTATCTATCTCTGTCATCTATCATCTATATCTATTTTATTTCTCTGTCTCTCTCTGTACATATCTATCTCAGTCTATCCTGATCTGTCTATATCTCTGTCATCTATATCTGTTATCTGTCATCTATCTGTCATTATTTTATCTCTCTCTCTGTGTACATATCTATCAATCTATCTCGATCTGTCTATATCTCTGCCATCTATATCTGTCTGTCATCTATCTATCCTGTCTGTCTGTCTGTCTATCTATTTTATCTCTCTCTGGGTGTGTACATATCTATCTCAGTCTATTTCGATCTGTCTGTCTGTCTGTCTGTCTATCTATCTATCTATCATCTACTCTAGCGCGTTGTGCAAATGGAATTGGGGAGTTGTAAGTGGGTTGTGTGTGTGTATTTCTATACCAGCCTGGCTTCAGGGTTTGGGAGTGGGAGGGACTGGAAGTGAAGAGGGCATCAGCGGGATAAGAATCATCTCATTGTCGCAAACAGATTGCATCCTGGTGAGGCTTGAGCCGACTGTGCCTGTCTTCCTTGGAAGGGCGGGGACTGGTTAACCTGGTTGATCCTCAGAGACTTTGAGGATTGTTGAATCCTCTGGGGAACTAGATAGTGATCCTGACAACATCCTGGTTTCATTGTGGCACTTTTGAACCGAGAAGAGTTGTTGAGGCTTTCACTCTGGAGAGCTGTTTCTGGTGAGCCCAGATTGAAGGCAAATGAATTGACGGATGACTTAAGGCACAGAAGTATGAATTTTGCAACACATCTGACTGGACACAGATCAAGGTCCATTTATGTGTAGCTCTGATGCCAGCGATGAGAATTTATTTCTCCATCATTGTTGTGTCTTAAGTGAACTGCCCAGCAGAGCTTTCTCAACTGCTGGAGACTCTACTTGGAGATCAATTTGAGGCAGAACTGACTAAATTACCGGTAATAGGTTTGGGAAAACCTTTGCCTACAAAATCCCTTGTATGTGCTTCAAATTAGGTAGTGATTTTTTTGAAGAGCTTGTTGAATTATGGAGGTGCCACCCGGTCAGAGTTTATGAGATCCCTTTAAATTATATTATTATGGCCTCAGGAAGAAGACGGCGATACTTGTCCAGCTCTGCTGATGCTTTTTTAGATTTTTGTCCTTAGTTGCTCTAATTGGATAGATCCCAGGAAGGGACAGTACCTATTTATGTTCATCTTGGAACAGGTGGTAATGTAGAAATTTTTTTTTTGCAAGAGGGCTTCCCTGGATCTTGAAATTTCGGGTAATTATCACTAAGTTGCAAGTTTTGGTCATACATACTAGATAAGAGGGTGGCCTTTGAGCTGCTGGGAATTTCTTAGAAATAAATTCGACTTGAAAAGAAATTAATTATCTGGATATCCTGACCTGGATGTAACGGTATAAAAGCCCCAGTTATTCTGAGTGGTGGCTTCGCCAGGGGAAAAGTGGGGTGGATTCCTTGGTGATATTTACCACCATTGATCATGGGATACTGCTGGAGATTAATGAGCTAATTATTTTTAAAGTTCTGTGTTACAGTAGCTTCAATTCACTAGGGAATTGTGGTGGAAAATTTCTGCTTGGCTTCATGATCGCTTTGTAAAAAAAAAAAAAAAAAAAAAAAACCCCACCAGTGGGGTTGTTTTTGTCTTATTCTTCTGTGTCTGTGCTGGAAACTGCATAACGCCAGCCGTTGAAGCAGCGATCCCCAACCTTTCTGGTACCAGGGACCGGTTTCGTGGAAGACAATTTTTCTACGGATCCTGGGTGAGAGGGGAGGGAAGAGGAGGGGCTCACAGCCTAGATCAGTGATGGCGAACCTTTTCAGCACCAAGTGCCCAAACTGGAACGCATGTGCATGTGCACGCAATGGAGCACCGGAAACCTGAAGACCAGCTGGCAGGCGTGCACATTCCTGCTTTTTGGGCTGTTTTTGGCTGTTTTGGGGCCATTTTTGGGCCATTTTTCAGGGTGTTTTTCTGGGCCGTTTTCCCAGGCATTTTTCAGGCTGAAAAATGGCCCGAAAGTGACCTGGAAAATGGCCTGAAAAATGGTCTGAAAAACGGCCCGGAGAATGGCCTGAAAAAGACCTGAAAAAGCCCCCCAAAATGGCCCAAAACAGCCAAAAAACAGGCATGCGCTCACCACCAGCTGGTCTTCAGGTTTGTAGCGCGCATGCACTTGAGTTCCGGTTTGGGCACTCAGTGCCGAAAAGGTTGTGCACATCGGAAACCAGAAGAGCCGCTGGTGATGGCACCTGTGCCCACAGAGAGAGCTCTGCATGCCACTTCTGGCATGCGTGCCATAGGTTCGCCATCACGGACCTAGATCCTGGGCACACACATATTTTTTTTTTTAATTTGATTTTATATGCCGCCCTTCTCCGGAGACTCAGGGCGGCTTACAATGCGCTAAGCAATAGCCTTCATCCTTTTGTATATTTTATACAAAGTCAGCTTATTGCCCCCACAAACCGGGTCCTCATTTAACCTACCTTAGAAAGGATGGAAGGCTGAGTCAACCTTGAGCCTGGTGAGATTCTTGCATGCCCACCACTCACCTCCAGCTGCGCAGCCTGGACACGAAGTGGTCCATGGACCAGGGGTTGGCAACCCCTGCATTAAAGCATCAGACAGTCTTTTCTGTACGTTATAGGTTAGTCTGTAAAATCCTTCCTGGCTTAATGTCTGGGGAGATTCTCAGTCATCCAGGTCATGGTTGACTTCAAGGAAAAAAAGCCCCTTTGGGACTTTCATGGCTTAGCATCCAAATACTGAAAAGGTGGCCTTTCTCAATGGCAGTTAACCTGGGCACCAAGATCAGTTGGGGAGGCGCCTTGCTTATGGTCCCATTGATAAGTTCAGTGATGACGACGACCAGGGCCTGTGTGATTCTTTTGTAAAATGGGAGGGATGACCTAGAACAGACTCCCGGGCTGGATGCGTCACATGCTGGCCACGCCCGGTTTAGCAACCGGGGGGGGGAGTCCCGATATATCACCTGACACCGCCATGACGACGTGAGTTTGACACCCCTGACCTAGAAGAAGAGTTAATCATAACAGCTTCGAAGGGAGAAGAAAGGCAAATGCCATTCTCTCCCTCCTTCCAGCCTCTGTATATGTTGGACTACAACGCCCATCTTCTTTAGCCAGCATGGGCTATGGTGGCTGGGAAATAATGGGGGCTCTAACAAGGTCTGGACCAGATGTTGAAGCATCAGCATAGAATCCTATGGATACGTGTTGACTGGGAGGGAAAAAAAAAATCTTTAAAATCCCAGCTCTTTCCCAATTCAGCTCTTCTGCTATCTTGTGATTTTTTTTTTTTAAAAAAAAAGCTTTTCTTCCCCTGCCCCAATCCTTTAGAATAAATGTTCCACTTTGGAGCCCAACCCTATCCATGTTTCATCAAAAGGAAGGGTTGCTAAATTTGAAGGGGGGTTATTGATGGGTAAATATGGGATATTGTCTGGGGCTTTGAAACTGTCCAAATAGAAGCTATTGTTTCAGTTACTCCAGTGTGTTCAGAGGAGGAATCAACGTTCTCATAGGTATATAACTGTATTTCTCGAAGATTTTTGGAATACCGTATGCCAGGGGTTCTCAATCTGTGGTCCACAGATCTCTTCAAGCAAAGGCTTGAAGAAATATTATGATTTAAATCTTGGTAGTCCATGGCCACAAAAGGTATTTAAAGGGAGTCCATGTTGAAGAAAACATTGAGAACCATTGCTGTAAAAATCCATCTCATCCTGTGCACCCTTTTTTTTTTAAACTATTACCATTACCAGCAGACGGTACAGGACAAATAGGCTGAAAAACAGCTTCTATCCCAGAGCAGTAACTATTCTATTGAATTCTACGGCATAGTGCAATATTAATGCAGTATCAGGGGTTTTCAATTCAATTGCATAGAATGTGAAGGATGTGTGTTTTTGTTTTATTTTTATAGTTTTCTTATGTATGACGTGCACTGAAGATGCCATTTAA